TGGAAGATTCTGGCATTTCTGCCAGTACTCTGCATGGCCGCAGGTCGTAACACATTCAGGCTCTGTTCTCTGTCTGGTGCAACAAGACGGACTTTTAATAAGGAAGGCTCATCACTTCCTCATACGTTGCTGGGATTGATCGCTCTAGTCTCACCATGCCCTGTTCCTGGTTCCTGTTTTCACTGTGATTCTGACCATGGTGATTTCCTGATACTGACTCGGGCTTTCTTGCTCCTGGATAGCCTGTATTACTCCGCTTTACCCCTGATCTGACCTGGCTTGGCTTACGGAATTAACATCTCTCTCTCGCCTTCTCTGGTATTCTATGTTGTATGACCTTGGCCTATCCCATACTAAACTACATTATGCTCTGATTCCCAACCCTGGATACCTGACCTTGGCTTGAACGCCGGACTACCAGTGAACATCTAACTAAAATCCCAGCGAAGGGGCTTGCATTTACCACGCACAGGCACCTCCGTGTCTGCAGACCTATCTTCCGGTGGCACCCAGCTGTATGCTTCTGAGTGGACCACCAACACCAGCACTCCTACAGGCGACCTGTTGCAAACTTTGGGCCCTGACCTCCCGCTTGTCACATCCCACTCTCAGGGGGAGAGAGTCCATGAACTTAGCCACAAGGGAAAGCACTCTCTCCTAATTGGCCCTCCATCAACCAGGTATGTGATTACACCCACTGCAGTTGTTGATCTGAAGGTGCATTCGTCTCACCACGGGGTCATTGGCAAAAAAAAGTAAGGATTTAGCCCCAGTTCACCTTGAGTCCCCATCAAATCACTAAAAAAATTATTTAATTATGGCCATTCTACAGTGTCAAATGCCTTTTCGATATCCAGTGAGGCAATCACTCTAGAACCCTGATTAAGATGTTGGGCATGACGGTTTGTTAAAAACAGTACACACAAGTTAATGTCAGTAGATTTGTGTGCCATGTACCCAGTTTGGTCTGAGTCAATTATCAAGGGTAAGAGGGGATTAAGCCTGTTAGTTAGAAGTTTTGTCAGCATTTTCAGGTCATTATTAAGGAGTGCTATCGCCCTGTAAGAGGCACAGGATTTGGGATCTTTATGAGGTTTGTATACAAGAACTACATGTGTGTCTGCCATGGAGCAAGGAAGGACACCCATATGGAGATGTGTGTGTATAGAGTAGCCAGGAGGGGAGCCAGCATCTCAATGTGTTCCTTATAAAATTCTACGGGTAAGCTATCTGAGCCAGGTGCCTTACCAGAGGAAAATAACTGAATCACCACCAGAACCGGCTCTGAGGTAATATGGCAGACCAGGTGTGACCTCTCAGTATCTGAAAGCCAATCAAGGGCAATAGGATTCAGCAGAGATGAGAGGTTCACCGAGGTAAGTGCAGCTGATAAAGTGTATCTATAGAGGTTTTTGATAGTAATCATGAAATTCCTTGAGAATAGCCTCTGCATCAGCAATTGTTTTGCCAGTTGAGGAGGCAAGCTCAGAGACTACTGTAAGGGGGGCATCATGATGGGATAACATGGCCATTAACCTACCATTCTTGTCCCCTGTTCAAAAAATTTTTGTTTAGAGGTGTACAAATCCAACCTAGTAACCTCCATCAGGTGTAGATGTAGGTCGCACTTGGCAGACATAAGCAAGTCAAAATTTGGGTCAGAGGGTTCCACTCCATATTGAGTGGATCTGTCAACACCTGAGTATGGAGGGAGGTCATGGTAGCTGTCTGATGTGTCTTAACCGCTTTTATGGTAGAAATATAATGTCCCTGAGAATATGCCTTAAAGCGGAGCTCCACCCAAAAGGGAACGTTCCTCTTTAAAGACTTGAATACTTGGTACTTGAATTTGACAGGTACCCGCTCCCACTTCCGTTCCAATCGCCTAGGCGATCGTAAGTGGAAGGTGTCCTCCCTTCCTCCCTCCCCGTAGTCTTTTGGGACATGTGACAAGTCCTAGACTACAGGACCATTCAGGAAGCGCAACGCTACTCGCATATGCACAGTGGGTACCGGCTGTGAAGTCACAAGCTGTTACAGCTGGGTGTCCACACTGAAGATGCTGGCGCCCAGGGAGAGAAGACAACCAGTAAAACGGGCTGCAGGGGACACACCGAGGGACCAAGGGACAGGTAAATGAGTGTTTTTTTAAAAGTCAGCAGCTACAGTTTTTGTAGCTGCTGACTTTTATTTTTTGACAGTGTGAGTGGAACTCCTCTTTAAAGGTGTCTCACACCATTTCTGGAGAGGAAAACCCTGTGTTGACATCCCAATATTCTTGTAATGCCGCGGGAGCACCTTCAGAGATTTTTGGATGTGAAATCCAGTGGGCACCAAGGCGCCATAGGGAACCATTGCTGCAATAGCCAATTTTAAATGTAATCGCCATGGGACTATGATCAGACAGGCCGCTAGGGACCTCTAGCATATGTGGAGTATGAGGCGTGAAAGGTCCTTTGAACTAAAATGTTCTTTTTATATATTTTGTTGAGAATCCTTTACTGGCAATGACTGCCTGAAGTCTGGAACCCATGGACATTACCAAAGACTAGGTTTCCTCCTTTCTGATCCTTTGCCAGGCTCTAACTGCAGCTGTCTTCAGTTGTTCTTTGCTTGTGGGTCTTTCTGCCTTTAGTTTTGACTTCGGCAAGTGAAATGCATGCTCAGTTGGGTTGACACCAGTTGATTGATGCGGCCATTGCAGAATATTCCACATCTTTTCCTTCAAAGGCTCCTGGGTTGCTTTTGCAGTGTGCATTGGAACATTGTCCATCTGTACTGTGAAGCGCCGTCCTATAAACTTTGCTGTATTTGGCTGAATCTGGGCTGACAGTATATCTGTAAACACTGCAGAATTCATGCTTCTGTCTTCTGTCACATCATCAATAAACACAATGACCCAGTGACACTGGAAGACATGCATGCCCATGCCATCACACTGCCTCCACAATGTTTTGCAGATGCGTTGTGTACTTTGGATCATGAGCTGTTCAAAGCCTTTTCCACACTTTTTTCTTCCCACCATTCTGGTACAGATTAATCTTAGTTTCATCCGTCCAAAGAATGCTTTTCCAGAACTGGTCTGGCTTTTTTAGATGTTTTTTTTCACAAAGTCCAATCTGGCTTTTCTATTCTTCAGGCTTATGAATGGTTTGCACCTCATGGCGAACCCTCTGTACTTGCTCTCCTGAAGTCTTGTTTTGATTGTAGACTTGGACAATGATACACCCATCTCCTGGAGAGTGTCCTTCCCTGGTATGGATGTTTTGAATGGGTTTTTTCTTTAAAATAGAGAGAGGATTCTGCAATCATCCACCACTGTTGTCTTTCGTGGACGTCCATGCCTTTTTTATGTTTCCAAGCTCACCAGTGCATTCTTCTTTCCTCAGAATGTACCAAACTGTTCATTTGGCCACTCCTAATGTTGCTGCTTTTTCTCTGATGGATCTGTTTAATTTTTGAAGCCTTACAATAGCCTGTTTCACTTGCATGGACAGCTTCTTTGAACGCATGATGTAGGTTCACAGCAATAGATTCCAAATGCAAATACCACACTTAGAATCAAATCCAGACCTTTTGCCTGCTTAATTGATGAAAAAATAATGGAGTAGCCCACACCTGGCCATTAAACAACTTTTGATTCAATTGTCCAGTTACTTTTGCTCCCTTGAAAAAAGGGGGGATGGCTACTCTTAACAGCTGTAATTCCTAAACCCTTCCTCCGATTTGGATGTACATACCCTCATTAAACCTGAGGGTGTGCACTTTCAGCCAATATTCTTGTGCTGGGGCCTTGCCCTTTCTCAGTCACTCGATGATTGGGTCACTAAATTTTTACTGTCACCCAATCATCGAGTGACTGAGAAGGGTAAGGCCCCAGCACAAGAACGGAAACACCAGCAACTACACCCTTGCATGAGATCTGTATCTATCACCTTAAGAACCAGAAAAGGGACCTTTCATTCATAGGTGTCAGCTCCATGCCAGGTTATTGGACCTGTTTCACTCCTACCAGGACTCCAGTAGGATTATGGTTGCAGAACAGTCTCATATCCAGAGGAGGGAGTCTCTTCCCATGCTATCTGTCTGGTCCCTGATGAAAAAGAACAGACAAGGGTGCACTCTCATCGTGCATTACCGTGGTATACCACGTATTTATTAAATAGACAAAAAGATGTATACTCACAAACCAATGATGATAATAAAAGCAGTGTGTATGGACCACAAAAACAGTCGCAAAAAAGCTGTGTCTAAATTGCGGATAAGCTAACGCGTTTCGGGAACTGAACCCCCTTCCTCAGAGCTGGAAATGAACCTGCTGGCCCCAAGCCTATATACCAAAGAAATGTCAAAAGGAGGGTGGAATAGACCCTCTCACCTCTATTCCACACTGCTTTTATTATCGTTGGTTTGTGAGTATACAGTACATCTTTTTGTCTATTTAATAAATACGTGGTATACCACGGTAATGCACGATGAGAGTGCGTCCTTGTCTGTTCTTTTTTATCAGTGGTCAGATTTCCCGATCTTTGAAGGGCAGCACCTCTTCGTTTGGCATCCTGACATTTTTCCAGTTTGCATGAGGATTGGAGCGTTGGTTTCTATTGTTCATCTTTTATTGTCTGTCTGGTCCATCTAAAGGGGCTTCCTGCAGATCCTTGGTCAATATATAGTTCAACACATTGCGCTTTTACTATGAGCATCTGGTGAGTGCGCATTTTTATCAATCTCCTGCACGGATTAAAATCACATGAATTAATCTGATACCACCTGTGCAATAGGATTCGTTTGGAGCATGACTTTCTGACTGGTGTTTGTCAGAGCCTCACCATCATATCACACTATCACATTTGTTTAAGACTTTCACAGCCGCACTTGTTTCATTGCGCCAATCGCAGCACTTCATTCATTTTGTTTATATCACCGACATTCGATTCGAGTCGAATATATTCGCTGTGAATTTAACTTAAAAAAGGGTGTTTCTAGGATTCAGAGAGACTTAATATTAGTGCAGAACACTGTACCTTTAATTTAAATGCCCTTGGAGTCTGCTGGGGAAGAGAAATAATACTGTCAGTCAGTATGACATGCAGATGAGTGCCGTCGATCTTAGAATCACCGCACACTTCACTCATTTGGCCAGTCACGGGGCCAAAACCAGTGTTTGGAGCCACAGTGTGGCGGTGGAGGCAGCAGCAATGGGAGGCCATACAGCAACCTATGACAAAATGGAAACCAGCAGGAGTGTGAGGAGACCTGAAAGTGGCACATGGCAGAGTGGGAGCAATGGGAGGCGGTACAGGGACCCATGTCACACTGTGGACATGACAAAATGGAAAACCGCAGGAGTGTGAGGAGAGACCTCAAAGTGGCACATGGCATGGCAGAGTGGGAGCAATGGGAGGCGGTACAGGGACCCAGGTCACACTGTGGGACCAGCAGCAGCGTGACCAGGCGGTACGGGGGCCCATGGGGCAGATTTGGGGCCTGGCGGCACCTATGGGAGGCCTGTAATCTGCCAGCAACCTATGACAAAATGGAAAACCGCAGGAGTGTGAGGAGACCTCAAAGTGGCACATGGCAGAGTGGGAGCAATGGGAGGCGGTACAGGGACCCAGGTCACACTGTGGGACCAGCAGCAGCGTGACCAGGCGGTACGGGGGCCCATGGCAGATTTGGGGCCTGGCGGCACCTATGGGAGGCCTGTAATCTCTGCCAGCAACCTATGACAAAATGGAAAACCGCAGGAGTGTGAGGAGACCTCAAAGTGGCACATGGCAGAGTGGGAGCAATGGGAGGCCGTACAGGGACCCAGGTCACACTGTGACCCAGCAGCAGCGTGACCAGGCGGTACGGGGGGTACCCCCATGGCCGATTTGGGGCCTGGCGGCACCTATGGGAGGCCTGTAATCTGCCAGCAACCTATGACAAAATGGAAAACCGCAGGAGTGTGAGGAGACCTCAAAGTGGCACATGGCAGAGTGGGAGCAATGGGAGGGGAGGCGGTACAGGGACCCAGGTCACACTGTGGGGGCCCAGCAGCAGCGTGACCAGGCGGTACGGGGGCCCATGGCAGATTTGGGGCCTGGCGGCACCTATGGGAGGCCTGTAATCTGCCAGCAACCTATGACAAAATGGAAAACCGCAGGTGTGAGGAGACCTCAAAGTGGCACATGGCAGAGTGGGAGCAATGGGAGGCGGTACAGGGACCCAGGTCACACTGTGGACCCAGCAGCAGCGTCCAGGCGGTACGGGGGCCCATGGCAGATTTGGGGCCTGGCGGCACCTATGGGAGGGCCTGTAATCTGCCAGCAACCTATGACAAAATGGAAAACCGCAGGAGTGTGAGGAGACCTCAAAGTGGCACATGGCAGAGTGGGAGCAATGGGAGGCGGTACAGGGACCCAGGTCACACTGTGGGACCAGCAGCAGCAGCGACCAGGCGGTACGGGGGCCCATGGCAGATTTGGGGCCTGGCAGCACACCTATGGGAGGCCTGTAATCTGCCAGCAACCTATGACAAAATGGAAAACCGCAGGAGTGTGAGGAGACCTCAAAGTGGCACATGGCAGAGTGGGAGCAATGGGAGGCGGTACAGGGACCCAGGTCACACTGTGGGACCAGCAGCAGCGTGACCAGGCGGTACGGGGGCCCATGGCAGATTTGGGGCCTGGCGGCACCTATGGGAGGCCTAATCTGCCAGCAACCTATGACAAAATGACAAAATGGAAAACCGCAGGAGTGTGAGGAGACCTCAAAGTGGCACATGGCAGAGTGGGAGCAATGGGAGGCGGTACAGGGACCCAGGTCACACTGTGGGCCCAGCAGCAGCAGCGTGACCAGGCGGTACGGGGGCCCATGGCAGATTTGGGGCCTGGCGGCACCTATGGGAGGCCTGTAATCTGCCAGCAACCTATGACAAAATGGAAAACCGCAGGAGTGTGAGGAGACCTCAAAGTGGCACATGGCAGAGTGGGAGCAATGGGAGGCGGGGACCCAGGTACAGGGACCCAGGTCACACTGTGGGACCCAGCAGCAGCGTGACCAGGCGGTACGGGGGCCCATGGCCGATTTGGGGCCTGGCGGCACCTATGGGAGGCCTGTAAATCTGCCAGCAACCTATGACAAAATGGAAAACCGCAGGAGTGTGAGGAGACCTCAAAGTGGCACATGGCAGAGTGGGAGCAATGGGAGGCGGTACAGGGACCCAGGTCACACTGTGGACCCAGCAGCAGCGTGACCAGGCGGTACGGGGGCCCATGGCAGATTTGGGGGCCTGGCGGCACCTATGGGAGGCCTGTAATCTGCCAGCAACCTATGACAAAATGGAAAACCGCAGGAGGAGTGTGAGGAGACCTCAAAGTGGCACATGGCAGAGTGGGAGCAATGGGAGGCGGTACAGGGACCCAGGTCACACTGTGGGACCAGCAGCAGCGTGACCAGGCGGTACGGGGGGGCCCATGGCAGATGGGGCCTGGCGGCACCTATGGGAGGCCTGTAATCTGCCAGCAACCTATGACAAAATGGAAAACCGCAGGAGTGAGGAGGAGACCTCAAAGTGGCACATGGCAGAGTGGGAGCAATGGGAGGCGGTACAGGGACCCAGGTCACACTGTGGGCCCAGCAGCAGCGTGACCAGGCGGTACGGGGGCCCATGGCCGAGATTTGGGGGCCTGGCGGCACCTATGGGAGGCCTGTAATCTGCCCAGCAACCTATGACAAAATGGAAAACCAGGAGTGTGAGGAGACCTCAAAGTGGCACATGGCAGAGTGGGAGCAATGGGAGGCGGGGCCGGGTACAGGGACCCAGGTCACACTGTGGGACCCAGCAGCAGCGTGACCAGGCGGTACGGGGGCCCATGGCAGATTTGGGGCCTGGCGGCACACTATGGGAGGCCTGTAATCTGCCAGCAACCTATGACAAAATGGAAAACCGCAGGAGTGTGAGGAGACCTCAAAGTGGCACATGGCAGAGTGGGAGCAATGGGAGGCGGTACAGGGACCCAGGTCACACTGTGGGGGACCCAGCAGCAGCGTGACCAGGCGGTACGGGGGGGCCCATGGCAGATTTGGGGCCTGGCGGCACCTATGGGAGGCCTGTAATCTGCCAGCAACCTATGACAAAATGGAAAACCGCAGGAGTGTGAGGAGACCTCAAAGTGGCACATGGCAGAGTGGGAGCAATGGGAGGCGGTACAGGGACCCAGGTCACACTGTGGGCCCAGCAGCAGCAGCAGACCAGGCGGTACGGGGGCCCATGGCAGATTTGGGGCCTGGCGGCACCTATGGGAGGCCTGTAATCTGCCAGCAACCTATGACAAAATGGAAAACCGCAGGAGTGTGAGGAGACCTCAAAGTGGCACATGGCAGAGTGGGAGCAATGGGAGGCGGTACAGGGACCCAGGTCACACTGTGGGACCCAGCAGCAGCGTGACCAGGCGGTACGGGGGGGGGCCCATGGCAGATTTGGGGCCTGGCGGCACCTATGGGAGGCCTGTAATCTGCCAGCAACCTATGACAAAATGGAAAACCGCAGGAGTGTGAGGAGACCTCAAAGTGGCACATGGCAGAGTGGGAGCAATGGGAGGCGGTACAGGGACCCAGGTCACACTGTGGGCCCAGCAGCAGCGTGACCAGGCGGGTACGGGGGCCCATGGCAGATTTGGGGCCTGGCGGCACCTATGGGAGGCCTGTAATCTGCCAGCAACCTATGACAAAATGGAAAACCGCAGGAGTGTGAGGAGACCTCAAAGTGGCACATGGCAGAGTGGGAGCAATGGGAGGCGGTACAGGGACCCAGGTCACACTGTGGGCCCAGCAGCAGCGTGACCAGGCGGTACGGGGGCCCATGGCAGATTTGGGGCCTGGCGGCACCTATGGGAGGCCTGTAATCTGCCAGCAACCTATGACAAAATGGAAAACCGCAGGAGTGTGAGGAGACCTCAAAGTGGCACATGGCAGAGTGGGAGCAATGGGAGGCGGTACAGGGACCCAGGTCACACTGTGGGCCCAGCAGCAGCGTGACCAGGCGGTACGGGGGCCCATGGCCGAGATTTGGGGCCTGGCGGCACCTATGGGAGGCCTGTAATCTGCCAGCAACCTATGACAAAATGGAAAACCGCAGGAGTGTGAGGAGACCTCAAAGTGGCACATGGCAGAGTGGGAGCAATGGGAGGCGGTACAGGGACCCAGGTCACACTGTGGGCCCAGCAGCAGCGTGACCAGGCGGTACGGGGGGGGCCCATTGGCAGATTTGGGGCCTGGCGGCACCTATGGGAGGCCTGTAATCTGCCAGCAACCTATGACAAAATGGAAAACCGCAGGAGTGTGAGGAGACCTCAAAGTGGCACATGGCAGAGTGGGGGAGCAATGGGAGGCGGTACAGGGACCCAGGTCACACTGTGGGACCCAGCAGCAGCGTGACCAGGCGGGTACGGGGGCCCATGGCAGATTTGGGGCCTGGCGGCACCTATGGGAGGCCTGTAATCTGCCAGCAACCTATGACAAAATGGAAAACCGCAGGAGTGTGAGGAGACCTCAAAGTGGCACATGGCAGAGTGGGAGCAATGGGAGGCGGTACAGGGACAGGGACCCAGGTCACACTGTGGGCCCAGCAGCAGCAGCAGTGACCAGGCGGTACGGGGGGCCCATGGCAGATTTGGGGCCTGGCAGGCACCTATGGGAGGCCTGTAATCTGCCAGCAACCTATGACAAAATGGAAAAAAACCGCAGGAGTGTGAGGAGGAGACCCAAAGTGTGGCACATGGCAGAGTGGGAGCAATGGGAGGGAGGTACAGGGACCCAGGTCACACTGTGGGACCAGCAGCAGCGTGACCAGGCGGTACGGGGGCCCATGGCAGATTTGGGGCCTGGCGGCACCTATGGGAGGCCTGTAATCTGCCAGCAACCTATGACAAAATGGAAAACCGCAGGAGTGTGAGGAGACCTCAAAGTGGCACATGGCAGAGTGGGAGCAATGGGAGGCGGTACAGGGACCCAGGTCACACTGTGGGACCAGCAGCAGCGTGACCAGGCGGTACGGGGGCCCATGGCAGATTTGGGGCCTGGCGGCACCTATGGGAGGCCTGTAATCTGCCAGCAACCTATGACAAAATGGAAAACCGCAGGAGTGTGAGGAGACCTCAAAGTGGCACATGGCAGAGTGGGAGCAATGGGAGGCGGTACAGGGACCCAGGTCACACTGTGGGCCCAGCAGCAGCAGTGACCAGGCGGTACGGGGGGGCCCATGGCAGATTTGGGGCCTGGCGGCACCTATGGGAGGCCTGTAATCTGCCAGCAACCTATGACAAAATGGAAAACCGCAGGAGTGTGAGGAGACCTCAAAGTGGCACATGGCAGAGTGGGAGCAATGGGAGGCGGTACAGGGACCCAGGTCACACTGTGGGGACCCAGCAGCAGCGTGACCAGGCGGTACGGGGGGCCCATGGCCGATTTGGGGCCTGGCGGCACCTATGGGAGGCCTGTAATCTGCCAGCAACCTATGACAAAATGGAAAACCGCAGGAGTGTGAGGAGACCTCAAAGTGGCACATGGCAGAGTGGGAGCAATGGGAGGCGGTACAGGGACCCAGGTCACACTGTGGGACCCAGCAGCAGCGTGACCAGGCGGTACGGGGGCCCCATGGCAGATTTGGGGCCTGGCGGCACCTATGGGAGGCCTGTAATCTGCCAGCAACCTATGACAAAATGGAAAACCGCAGGAGTGTGTGAGGAGACCTCAAAGTGGCACATGGCAGAGTGGGAGCAATGGGAGGCGGTACAGGGACCCAGGTCACACTGTGGGCCCAGCAGCAGCGTGACCAGGCGGTACGGGGGGGGCCCATGGCAGATTTGGGGCCTGGCGGCACCTATGGGAGGCCTGTAATCTGCCAGCAACCTATGACAAAATGGAAAACCGCAGGAGTGTGAGGAGACCTCAAAGTGGGCACATGGCAGAGTGGGAGCAATGGGAGGCGGTACAGGGACCCCAGTCACACTGTGGGACCAGCAGCAGCAGCGTGACCAGGCGGTACGGGGGGCCATGGCAGATTTGGGGCCTGGCGGCACCTATATGGGAGGCCTGTAATCTGCCAGCAACCTATGACAAAATGGAAAACCGCAGGAGTGTGAGGAGACCTCAAAGTGGCACATGGCAGAGTGGGAGCAATGGGAGGCGGTACACAGGGACCCAGGTCACACTGTGGGACCAGCAGCAGCGTGACCAGGGCGGTACGGGGGCCCATGGCCGATTTGGGGCCTGGCGGCACCTATGGGAGGCCTGTAATCTGCCAGCAACCTATGACAAAATGGAAAACCGCAGGAGTGTGAGGAGACCTCAAAGTGGCACATGGCAGAGTGGGAGCAATGGGAGGCGGTACAGGGACCCAGGTCACACTGTGGGAGCAGCAGCGTGACCAGGCGGTACGGGGGCCCATGGCAGATTTGGGGCCTGGCGGCACCTATGGGAGGCCTAATCTGCCAGCAACCTATGACAAAATGGAAAACCGCAGGAGTGTGAGGAGACCTCAAAGTGGCACATGGCAGAGTGGGAGCAATGGGAGGCGGTACAGGGACCCAGGTCACACTGTGGGACCCAGCAGCAGCGTGACCAGGCGGTACGGGGGCCCATGGCCGATTTGGGGCCTGGCAGCACCTATGGGAGGCCTGTAATCTGCCAGCAACCTATGACAAAATGGAAAACCGCAGGAGTGTGAGAGAGAGACCTCAAAGTGGCACATGGCAGAGTGGGAGTGGGAGCAATGGGAGGCGGTACACAGGGACCCAGGTCACACTGTGGGCCCAGCAGCAGCGTGACCAGGCGGTACGGGGGCCCATGGCCGATTTGGGGCCTGGCGGCACCTATGGGAGGCCTGTAATCTGCCAGCAACCTATGACAAAATGGAAAACCGCAGGGAGTGTGAGGAGACCTCAAAGTGGCACATGGCAGAGTGGGAGCAATGGGAGGGGAGGCGGTACAGGGACCCAGGTCACACTGTGGGCCCAGCAGCAGCGTGACCAGGCGGTACGGGGGCCATGGCCGATTTGGGGCCTGGCAGCACCTATGGGAGGCCTGTAATCTGCCAGCAACCTATGACAAAATGGAAAACCGCAGGAGTGTGAGGAGACCTCAAAGTGGCACATGGCAGAGTGGGAGCAATGGGAGGCGGTACAGGGACCCAGGTCACACTGTGGGCCCAGCAGCAGCGTGACCAGGCGGTACGGGGGCCCATGGCCGATTTGGGGCCTGGCGGCACCTATGGGAGGCCTGTAATCTGCCAGCAACCTATGACAAAATGGAAAACCGCAGGAGTGTGAGGAGACCTCAAAGTGGCACATGGCAGAGTGGGAGCAATGGGAGGCGGTACAGGGACCCAGGTCACACTGTGGGACCCAGCAGCAGCAGACCAGGCGGTACGGGGGCCCATGGCCGATTTGGGGCCTGGCGGCACCTATGGGAGGCCTGTAATCTGCCAGCAACCTATGACAAAATGGAAAACCAGGGAGTGTGAGGAGACCTCAAAGTGGCACATGGCAGAGTGGGAGCAATGGGGGAGGCGGTACAGGGACCCAGGTCACACTGTGGGCCCAGCAGCAGCGTGACCAGGCGGTACGGGGGCCCCATGGCCGATTTGGGGCCTGGCGGCACCTATGGGAGGCCTGTAATCTGCCAGCAACCTATGACAAAATGGAAAACCGCAGGAGTGTGAGGAGACCTCAAAGGCACATGGCAGAGTGGGAGCAATGGGAGGCGGTACAGGGACCCAGGTCACACTGTGGGACCAGCAGCAGCGTGACCAGGCGGTACGGGGGCCCATGGCAGATTTGGGGCCTGGCGGCACCTATGGGAGGCCTGTAATCTGCCAGCAACCTATGACAAAATGGAAAACCGCAGGAGTGTGAGGAGACCTCAAAGTGGCACATGGCAGAGTGGGAGCAATGGGAGGCGGTACAGGGACCCAGGTCACACTGTGGGCCCAGCAGCAGCGTGACCAGGCGGTACGGGGGCCCATGGCCGATTTGGGGCCTGGCGCACACCTATGGGAGGCCTGTAATCTGCCAGCAACCTATGACAAAATGGAAAACCGCAGGAGTGTGAGGAGACCTCAAAGTGGCACATGGCAGAGTGGAGCAATGGGAGGCCGTACAGGGACCCAGGTCACACTGTGGGACCAGCAGCAGCGTGACCAGGCGTACGGGGGCCCATGGCAGATTTGGGGCCTGGCGGCACCTATGGGAGGCCTGTAATCTGCCAGCAACCTATGACAAAATGGAAAACCGCAGGAGTGTGAGGAGACCTCAAAGTGGCACATGGCAGAGTGGGGGAGCAATGGGAGGCCGTACAGGGACCCAGGTCACACTGTGGGACCAGCAGCAGCGTGACCAGGCGGTACGGGGGGGGCCCATGGCAGATTTGGGGCCTGGCAGCACCTATGGGAGGCCTGTAATCTGCCAGCAACCTATGACAAAATGGAAAACCGCAGGAGTGTGAGGAGACCTCAAAGTGGCACATGGCAGAGTGGGAGCAATGGGAGGCGGTACAGGGACCCAGGTCACACTGTGGACCCAGCAGCAGCAGCGTGACCAGGCGGTACGGGGGCCCATGGCAGATTTGGGGCCTGGCGGCACCTATGGGAGGCCTGTAATCTGCCAGCAACCTATGACAAAATGGAAAACCGCAGGAGTGTGAGGAGACCTCAAAGTGGCACATGGCAGAGTGGGCGATGGAGACAGCAATGGGAGGCCGTACAGGGACCCATGTCAGAGACTGTGGACCAGCAGCAGCATGAGGAGGCGGTACGGGGGCCCATGGCAGATTTGGGGCCTGGCAGCAGCACCTGGGAGGCCCGTAATCTGCCAGCACCCTATGACAAAAAAATGGAACACACCAGCAGGAGTGTGAGGAGACCTGAAAGTGGCACATGGCATGGGGGCATGAGTGGGAGCAGCAATGGAGGCCGTACAGGGACCCAGGTCACACTGTGGACATTTTCAGCAGCAGCGTGAGTCCTGACACAGGGGGACAGGGGCCCATGGCAGATTTGGGGCCTGGCAGCACCTATGGGGGCCTGTAATCTGCCAGCAGCCTATGACAAAAATGCAAAACCAGCAGTGGGGAGACCTGAAAGTGGCACATGGCAGAGTGGGAGTGGGAGCAGCAGTTGTGGGAGGCCGTTGGGCACAGGCAATTGTCTACCTGGTTGGCAGGGTGCAGCCCAGTCCAGTGGACAGCAGCAGCATGACCAGGCGGTACGGGGGCCCATGGCAGATTTGGGGCCTGGCAGCAGGCCATGGGAGGCCCGTAATCTGCCAGCACCCTATGACAAAAAATGGAAAACACTGCAGCTGTGAGGAGACCTCAAAGTGGCACATGGCAGAGTGCTGGCGATGGAGAGCAGCAGCAATGGGAGGCCGTACAGGGACCCATGAGACACTGTGGACCTGGCAGCAGCATGACCAGCGAGGCGGTATAGGGGGCCCATGGCAGGATTAGGGGCCTGGCAGCAGCTATGGGAGGGCCCGTAATCTGCCAGCACCCTATGTCAAAAAAATTTTTGAACACAGGGGGTCCAGCAGTGTGAGGAGACCTGAAAGTGGCACATGGCAGAGTGGGCGATGGAGACAGCAGCAATGGGAGGACTGGGGACCCACGCAGCAAGCCAGGCAGCAGCAGCATGGGCCATTTGTGCCAAGGAATGCGCGGGGCCTGGCCTCCATCTCCACAGCAGCAGCACTGGGGGTACGGGGGCCCATGGCCTGGGGCCTGGCAGCAGCTATGGGAGGCCCGTAATCTGCCAGCACCCTATGACAAAATGGCTCCACAGCAGTGTGTGAGTGAGACCACCCATTAAAGTGGCACATGGCATGAGTGTGGCTGGAGACAGCAGCAATGGGAGGCCGTACAGGGGGCCCCCACCCATGTGGCGTTGAGACTGTGGGACCTGGCAGCAGCCTGACCAGGCCATACGTTAACCCATGCATTTGTTCCAGGGGCCTGGCAGCAGCTATGGAATGACACGCCCCATAGTCTGCCAGCACCCTATGTGGCAAAAAAATGGCCTGAGCACACCAGCAGTGTGTCACGCATGAGCTGCCAATGGCTGGCATCAGGTGAGGAGGCGGTAGTACCCATGGCAGATTAGGGGCCATCAGCAAATATGGAGGCCTTAATCTGCCAGCACCCTATGTCAAAAAATTGAACACACCAGGTGTGAGGAGACCTGAAAGTGGCACATGGCAGAGTGGGCGATGGAGACAGCAGCACATGATGAGAGACCACCTGAGAGGACTGGCTGGCAGCAGCATGAGGAGGCGGTACGGGGGCCCATGGCAGATTAGGGGCCTGGCAGCAGCTATGGGAGGCCCGTAATCTGCCAGCACCCTATGTCAAAAAATTGAACACACCAGCAGTGTGAGGAGACCTGAAAGTGGCACATGGCAGAGTGTGGCGATGGATGGAGACAGCAGCAATGGGAGGCCGTACAGGGACCCATGAGAGACTCTGGACTTGGCAGCAGCATGAGGAGGCGGCGGTATAGGGGCCCATGGCAGATTAGGGGCCTGGCAGCAGCTATGGGAGGCCCGTAATCTGCCAGCACCCTATGTCAAAAAATTGAACACACCAGCAGTGTGAGGAGACCTGAAAGTGGCACATGGCAGAGTGTGTGGCGATGAGACAGCAGCAATGGGAGGCCGTACAGGGACCCATGGCAGACTCTGGACTTGGCAGCAGCATGAGAGGAGGCGGTATAGGGGCCCATGGCAGATTAGGGGCCTGGCAGCAGCTATGGGAGGCCCGTAATCTGCCAGCACCCTATGACAAAAAATTGAACACACCAGCAGTGTGTGAGGAGACCTGAAAGTGGCACATGGCAGAGTGTGGCGATGGAGACAGCAGCAATGGGAGGCCGTACAGGGACCCATGAGAGACTCTGGACCTGGCAGCAGCATGAGGAGGCGGTATAGGGGCCCATGGCAGATTAGGGGCCTGGCAGCAGCTATGGGAGGCCCGTAATCTGCCAGCACCCTATGTCAAAAAATTGAACACACCAGCAGTGTGAGGAGACCTGAAAGTGGCACATGGCAGAGAGACTGGGACCTGGCAGCAGCAATGGGAGGCCGGTACAGGGACCCATGAGAGACTGGGACCTGGCAGCAGCATGAGGAGGCGGTATAGGGGCCCATGGCAGATTAGGGGCCTGGCAGCAGCTATGGGAGGCCCGTAATCTGCCAGCACCCTATGACAAAAAATTGAACACACCAGCAGTGTGAGGAGACCTGAAAGTGGCACATGGCAGAGTGTGGCGATGGAGACAGCAGCAATGGGAGGCCGTACAGGGACCCATGAGAGACTCTGGACCTGGCAGCAGCAGGAGGAGGCGGTATAGGGGCCCATGGCAGATTAGGGGCCTGGCAGCAGCTATGGGAGGCCCGTAATCTGCCAGCACCCTATGACAAAAAATGGAACACACCAGCAGTGTGTGAGGAGACCTGAAAGTGGCACATGTTTGGGGCATGATTCATGGCGGATTTAGTCAGTTGTGTCAGGAACTGGTGGTTTGAAATCCAGACTAATCCACGCCTGATTCATTTTCACAAACGTGAGTCTCTCCACACTTTGGGTGGACAGTCGTGTCCTCCGCGGAGTTACAATACCTCCTGCCGCACTAAACACGCGCTCCGATGCCACGCTACTGGCCGGGCATGACAGCCTTTCAAGGGCAAATTCAGCTAGTTGGGGCCAAAGGTCAAGTTTCGTTGCCCAGTAGTCAAGGGGATTGTCTACCTCGGTTGGCAGGGTGCTGTCCAAGTAGGCCCAAGCCTGTTGTTTGAGCTCCTGCTCCAGGTCCACCTGATGCTGCTGCTGCTGCTGCTGCGGCTGGTTAGTAGTTTCCTCACTGCGCTGGTGAAGAAAGCTACTCATCATCGACTGCAGACTGAGGCAGCCGCTGGTGGAGCTGCCACTGCTCCTACCACCCCACCCCTCCCCTGCTGCCATGGCAGCGGAACGCGAGCGCACAGGGCCCACAGTGTCTGAGGATGGACGTTGGCGCAGAAAGGCAGAGACCAACTGACTACATAGGTGGTTTTTATAGTACGTAATTTTGGCCTCCCTCTCAGCAGGTGTGAAAAAGGCCACCATTTTGGAACGGTAGCGAGGGTCCAACAAGGTGGACAGCCAAAAGTCATCCCTCTGTCTGATGGTTATTATTCGGCTGTCGCTACGCAAGCAACCGAGCATGCTATGGGCCATTTGTGCCAAGGAATGCGAGGGACTCCCTGCCTCCATCTCCACAGCATACTGCCACGGTGCGTCTGGGTCCTCTGTCTCCTCCTCCTCCTCCTCCTCTACCAGATGCTCCTGCTCCTCCACTCCTGTCCGCTGAGTGGAAAAACCACCCATTTCACTCAATAATTCCTGAGCACAAATGTCCTCCTCTACCTCCTCCTCTTCTTCCTGTCCTGCCCCCACAGGGGTCATGTGGCGTTGAGATCTGTGCGCCACGTCTACCGCACCCTGACCAGCCATTGTTAACAGCATTTGTTCCAGGACGTGCAACAGAGGAATGACGTCGTTCATCCCATAGTCCTGCCGACTCACGAATAGCGTGGCCTCCTCAAAGGGCCTGAGCAAGCGGCAGGTGTCACGCATGAGCTGCCAATGGCTGACATCGAAGTTACACAGGGGAGTACCTTTATCCGCTTGTAACATCAGGAAATCGGTGATGGCCTTTCGCTGCTCGTAAAGGCGGTCTAACATGTGTAGGGTTGAATTCCACCTTGTTGCAACGTCGCAGATCAGGCGATGCTGTGGAATTCCGTTCTGCCGCTGCAGCTCAAGGAGGGTGTGCTTTGCGGTGTAGGAATGGCTGAAATGCATGCAAAGTTTACGTGACATTTTAAGGATGTCTTGCAGTGGGATGGTGGATTTTAGGAACCGCTTGACAACCAGATTGAACACGTGAGCCATGCATGGCGCATGGCACAACCTTCCTTGACGCAGAGCAGACCATGTTCTTTCCGTTGTCGGTCAACATGGTTCCGTGATTTTCAGTTTGCGCGGAGACAGCCATCTGTCGATTTCTCTGTTCATTACACTCAGAAGTTCCTCCCCTGTGTGACTACGTTCGCCAAGGCATACCAGGTGCAGCACAGCGTGACACCGTTGCGCCCTGCACATGTGATATGCCGGTCGGGTAATGGGACTTGGCACGGGGTGGCGGCTGAGGACACGGCGGAAGAAGAGGTGGTAGAGAGCGGACATGTTTGCTGGACCAAGGACGTGCAAACGTGGAGGCAAAAGCGTCGTGACCTGTCCAAGTTGCTGGTGCGGCTGTGCCGGCACCACGTTCACCCAGTGGGCCGTAAATGACATGTACTGTCCCTGACCGTAGTTACAGCTCCACACGTCGGCGCTGCCGTGCACTTTGGCAGAGACCGACATGCTCAAAGACTGGCCCACCATCTCTTCTACATGTGAATGCAGGGCTGGCACTGCCTTTTTGGCGAAGAAATGACGGCTTGGCACTCTCCACCGCGGCGCGGCACAAGCCATCATTTCTCGGAAAGGTGCTGAGTCCACCAGTTGGAAAGGGAGGGACTGCAGCACCAGCAACTTGGACAGGAGGACGTTCAGCTTTTGCACCGTCGGGTGCGTGCTCGCAAACTGTTGTCTCTTGGAAACGGATTCCAAGAAAGACTGCTGACGGAATCCGAGAAGAGGAGTAGCAGGAGAAGGAGCATCTGAACGAGCGGAAGATGCCAACGAGCGACAACTCCCCTCAGCAGAGGTGTTGGAGCCTTGACTGGCTGATAGAGGGCGATTGACGTCGGGTGACGGAGCAAGTAACGGAGCGGGTGATGGAGCGGGGGCTGGGGCAGGCAGAACCGCCGTATCTTTATCACGGTTTTCCCAGGCCACCGAATGGCGACGCTGCATATGCTGACGCAACGCTGTAGTCCCAACATGGGCCCCCTGGCCACGCTTGATTTCTGGCCACATAGTCGACATACGGCTACGTTTACTTCCTCGGGCGGCTTGACGAAAAATTGCCACACCACCGAGTAGGAAACTTTGCCCCCGCTACTCCTCACTGGCTGACTGCTACTTCCTCCGTGCGCACCGGCACCACTACTGGCCGTGGTGGTAGGCTGCAGTGGAGCTGGTGCTCTACTCCGTGGCCGTTTGGCTCCACTGACACTGCTGCGACCCTGCTGCCTCCTGGGCAACCCACCGACTGTTTCGCTCGCTGCCAAGCTGGCACCCTCTTCTCCTGATGATGCGGAAGAAATTACCTGATGACGACGAGGCTGCCAAGTGCGATCAACCTCCTCATCATCAAGTAGGGTCTCCGCCTCACTACTAGCCCCCTCGGCTGCGTCTGGGTCAGGAGACAGACCTGTCTCTAGACCGGCTACCGAGCCACTCTCCTCGCCAGTACTTCTTCGCCTGGCTGCTGAAAAGGCGGATGTCTCCCCCCGTTCCTGACCGCCCTCTGTTAGCTCTTCCTCACTGTACAGTGGGGCTGAGCCCACAGCATGCGATACTTCGCTTGGTGAGGGAACAGCAAAGGACAGGGGCAGGTAGAGGACACGTGATTTCAGTGGGCTTGCTCCCGGGCCATGCCAACTAACGGTTGTGTCTGACGTACCCACCGACCGTTGGCTGTAGGTGTCAGAGGTGACCTGGGAAGAGGAAGACGACCGAGCCACCAATCGATGACGGCAGGGTTGTCGGTGGAGACACGACCGCTGGATGACACCGGGAGCACTGGCCTCTGGCTGCGAATAGTGCTGCCTCGACCCCTTCCTCTGCTGCCACGTCTGCTCGCTCCTAAAACATTGCCTCCTCTGCCACTCCTCTGCATGTTGTCTGACATACTCTTTAATTCAACGATTCTGTGTCCCTGAGTAACAATTCTGTGTCCCTGAGTAACAATTCTGTGTCTGTCCCTGAGTAACAATTCTGTGGCCCTAAGTAACGGTTCTGTGGCCCTCAGTAACAATTCTGTGTCCCTGAGTAACAATTCTGTGGCCCTAAGTAACGGTTCTGTGGCCCTCAGTAACAATTCTGTGTCCCTGAGTAACAATTCTGTGTCTGTCCCTGAGTAACAATTCAATGTCTGGCCCTAAGTAACAACTGTGTTCTGTGGCCCTCAGTAACAATTCTGTGTCCCTGAGTAACAATTCTGTGGCCCTAAGTAACGGTTCTGTGGCCCTCAGTAACAATTCTGTGTCCCTGAGTAACAATTCTGTGTCTGTCCCTGAGTAACAATTCTGTGGCCCTAAGTAACGGTTCTGTGGCCCTCAGTAACAATTCTGTGTCCCTGAGTAACGTTTCTGTGGCCCTAAGTAACGGTTCTGTGGCCCTCAGTAACAATTCTGTGTCCCTGAGTAACAATTCTGTGTCTGTCCCTGAGTAACAATTCTGTGGCCCTAAGTAACGGTTCTGTGGCCCTCAGTAACAATTCTGTGTCCCTGAGTAACAATTCTGTGGCCCTAAGTAACGGTTCTGTGGCCCTCAGTAACAATTCTGTGTCCCTGAGTAACAATTCTGTGGCCCTAAGTAACGGTTCTGTGGCCCTCAGTAACAATTCTGTGGCCCTCAGTAACAATTCTGTGTGTCCCTGAGTAACAATTCTGTGGCCCTAAGTAACGGTTCTGTGTGCCCCCTCAGTAACAATTCTGTGTCCCTGAGTAACAATTCTGTGTCTGTCCCTGAGTAACAATTCTGTGTGGCCCCTAAGTAACGGTTCTGTGGCCCTCAGTAACAATTCTGTGTCCCTGAGTAACGTTTCTGTGGCCCTAAGTAACGGTTCTGTGGCCCTCAGTAACAATTCTGTGTCCCTGAGTAACAATTCTGTGTCCCTCCCCTGAGTAACAATTCTGTGGCCCTAAGTAACGGTTCTGTGGCCCTCAGTAACAATTCTGTGTCCCTGAGTAACAATTCTGTGGCCCTAAGTAACAATTCTGTGGCCCTCAGTAACAATTCTGTGTCCCTGAGTAACAATTCTGTGGCCCTAAGTAACGGTTCTGTGGCCCTCAGTAACAATTCTGTGTCCCTCAGTAACAATTCTGTGTCTGTCCCTGAGTAACAATTCTGTGGCCCTAAGTAACGGTTCTGTGGCCCTCAGTAACAATTCTGTGTCCCTGAGTAACGTTTCTGTGGCCCTAAGTAACGGTTCTGTGGCCCTCAGTAACAATTCTGTGTCCCTGAGTAACAATTCTGTGTCTGTCCCTGAGTAACAATTCTGTGGCCCTAAGTAACGGTTCTGTGGCCCTCAGTAACAATTCTGTGTCCCTCAGTAACAATTTGTGTCCCCCCTGAGTAACAATTCTGTGGCCCTAAGTAACGGTTCTGTGGCCCTCAGTAACAATTCTGTGTCCCTTCAGTAA